GTTAATTATCAAAGAAATGAAGTGAGGATATTTTACACTGAAGGACATGAATCTTCAGAATGAGAGGGCCCAGTACAAATGAAAAAGAACCATCCTAAGGCATATCATCAGAAAATGCCAGAATACCAGGGATAAAGAGAAGATCCTGAAAGTTTTGGAGGTAGGGAGAACGGATTATATATACATCATCAGGAATCAGAATGGTTTCAGATAGCTCAGTGGCAGCACTGACAGCTAGATGAGGGAGCCATGCCTTAAAAATTCTGGTGGAAAATTATTTCCAACATACTATTCCATATATAGTCAAGGAAATTAGAAGTGAGCATAGAATAAAGACATTCTCAGACATGCAAAGATATAAAAATTTTACTTCCTATGTGCCCTTCCTTAGGAAGTGACTAGAGGATGTGTTTCACCAAAATGAGGGCATAGACCAAGAGAGAAAAGACTTGCAAACCCGGAAGCAGACTCTTCAACATAGTAGAACTGGTATGCAGGTGGCCTAGAAAGCAACCAGTCCCAAACTGAAAGGGAGGAGGAAGGCTCCAGGAGGTGAAGCACTAGGAAAACAAAGGGAGCTGATAGCTTCTGTGACTATGTGGAAAAAGCATTTTACAGATCTGCTAGAATGTTTGAAGAGATTTAGCAATATGTACATAGAACTAAGCAAATGAGGAAAAAAGGCAACTATTAACTCCAGGAAAAACAAACATATGTACAGAAAATAAGTGTAATGATAGTATACCATTTGGTTCAGCAATGGACAATATAAAGTCATAAGAAGGTAAACTCTAAAAGAAATTTATTTATTTATTTATTTTTAAAAAAAGATTTTATTTATTTGACAGAGATCACAAGTAGGCAGAGAGGCAGGGAGAGAGAGAGGGAGAAGCAGGCTCCCCGCTGAGCAGAGAGTCCCATGTGGGGCTCGATCCCAGGACTCTGGGATCATGACCTGAGCCGAAGATAGAGGCTTTAACCCACTGAGCCACCCAGGCGCCCCTAACCCCCAAATTTAAGAACTTGGCAGTTGCAATTAAACTATATGAAAGTATGGAAAAAGGAAGTGGAGCTGGGTAGTATAAGAGTTAATACTCATCTACTGTTTTGGGGGGGATTGTGGAAGACATTACTAGTGTTCACTGATACCTGGTCCTCCTTGCTTCGGGGCACATAGAAGACTGTACTTCTTAACCCCTTATAGTTGGGAGCGGCGCCATGGCCAGTCCGGTCCCTAAGCTTTAGGCGGAAATGCTGTGTTGCTGCTAGAAGGAAGCTGAGATGATCCTGCAACTGTCTCTTCTCCCCCTGTGGTGATCAAGGAGGCCTTGGGTTAAGATGGCAGAACCACAAGATTGAAACGGGGCTGGCATTGCCTCATGGGATATAGTCCCAGAGATGCTGCATGGACTCTGCAAGGATGAGAAAGAAACCTTTATAGTGTGAAGCCACTGAGATTTTGGGCTAATTTTTTACTGCCATGTAGCCTGGCTTACCTGATACAAACTTCAACACATACTGTGTGAAACTGATAAATTAGGAAAATTAAGAAATAGCCATAGAATCATGTTATTTAGAATTATGGAGATGATCACCAGAAGAATAAAAATATTAAAAGTGGTGGCCTTTGGGGAGCAGGAAAGAGGAATGAGTAACCTGTATTCATTATAACACTGTATGACTTTTTTTTTTACACAATATAATTGTATTACATTGGCAGAAATAACAGTTTATAAAATCCTGTGTGTGTGTGTGTGTGTGTGTGTGTGTGTGTGTGTGTGTGTGTGTTGAAAGGATTCCCACCAAACCATTACAGTGACTGTCCATAGCAGGGAGGGCATGCTAGACTGGACATCTGAGGAACTATGGATGTGGCTGGGCATGGAAGGCCCTGTGGGAACGAGGCCACCCGGATGGATTGCCAGTCTGAGGAGTCTGATTTTCATCCAGATGGCGGTGGGGAGCCGTGGAAGAACTGGAAGCAGTAGAGTGTCCTGAGCAAATGTACTTTTGTAGTGGGCCCCCTGACTTACCTGGATGATGAATTGTTGGGGAGAGAGGGGGCTGCGTGGTCTCCGGGAGAGCTGATGAGGCCCCCGGACTAAGACCTGGTTCTAACAAGTGTCTCTCAAGGGCCTGCCGTTTTCCAGGCGCTATTGGTAAATGCCCAGCCATTTAGCAGGGAACAAGAGGGACAGATCCCCCTGCCTTTGGGGACCATACATGGGCGAGAGAGGCAAATGTGGAGGAAAAAAAGTAAAAGTCAGGTGGTGGCTTGTGCTGTAAAGAAAAATGCATCAACTTGAGACAGAGAGATTGGGGGGGGAGGGATACTCTACATAGGGTGGCCAGCTGTGGGCTCCCTGAGAAGGTGACATTTGAATAGAGCCCTGACTTAAGAGAAGGAACAAGCCATGCAAAATGTGGGGTTCCAGGCAGAAGGAACAGCGGCCTGGAGGACCTGAGGTGGGAGCAGGCTTGATATGCCAAGGCACAGCAAAGAAGTCCATCGTGGGGGGGCGGGGGCGGGGTCCATCCATGAAGGGGAAAGTTCTGGGACCAATTCATGGAATAGGGAGAGAACCTCAGGGAGCCACTGGTGGGTTGAGAGCAGGAGAGCGGCCTGATTTGTCTGAGGAGGCCAGTAGGGCCAGCCAGGCCTGGCAGCCCTTTGGCTGGGGGCGGGGGGATGGGTGGGCTTTTTAGGAGGGGCGCCTCTGGGGCTCTGCCCAGCCGTCAGTGCGGTGCCTCTCAGGCCGCCTGGACCAGCGACAGCAGCTTCATCACCCGCTTCCCAGCATCCCAGCCCCCTCGGGGAATTGAAGGATCCTCACAAATCAAAATAGCAGGCAAAGAACAGCCTCTAATTGTTCCACGTAAAAGAAGCGAAATTAGACGAGTCAGCTGTGGGCTTGAGACCGCCTCCCACACAGCTGTGATCCCGCACCCCTCGGAAGACAGACTTCCCGAGACTTGAAATTCTGCTGTCGCCGAGCAAAACTTTTTGCTTCACCAGCCCCAGGACAAATGACAGCTATTTGGGGAGGGAGTGGGACAGATGCTGGCCCTGGAGGACAATGCGTGAATCAGAATTTAAAAAAAAAAAAAAATATCAGTCCCCTCGTGAAGGAGCAGCCCTAGCTGGTGTGGATTCATTCCATCATTCAGAACACATAGAAGGCACTCGGTGTGCCATCATCAGCTCTCACAGGGGCCCAAGCCTGGGCCTGGTAGCACGGGATTTCCAGAGCGGTGGAGGCATGCGGTGTGGTTCCACCCTGGGGGTAGAGTGGGAAGAGAGCACTGGTCCAGGAGTCAGGAGGTCTAAGTTCTTGCCTTGGCTCTGCCGCTGTGTGACCTTGGGTGAGTCATGTCACCACCTCCGTGGGCTTCAGTTTTCCTGTCTTTTCTCTATGGGCTTTAGGCCACATAGTGCTTCTCAAACTTTAGAGCCTTTAAGAGTCATTTGGGGGTGGTGCTTGTTAAAGATGAAGATTTCCAGGGTGCCTGGATGGCTCTGTCAGTAGAGCATGTGACTTTTGATCTCGGGGTCATGAGTTCAAGCCCCATGTTGGTAAGATTTAGTAGGTCTGGGGTGGGGTCTACGAGTCTCCTATTCCAGGAATTCTGAAGGGAGTCCTTGGACCACACTTCCATAAAATCATTTTCCCTCAATCTCTCAGGGCTCCTCCTGCTCGGAAATTTGAGGAGTCACCCATGCAGCCCTTCTCTGGGTTTCTCACATCACTCTAGGGACATGAAAGCAGTCCTTGTCCCCCCTTGATATACCTGTATGTTCCTGCGGTGATCATGCTGCACCGGGACAGTGTGTCTCCGTGTATGGAGCCTCTTCCAGGCTGTCTGCTGCCCAGCGCAGGCCCAGTACAGAGGGGGACCATGACAGACATGATGGCCCAGCAGGGGGCTAGTGTGGTGCAGGAGGCCGCAGAGTCGGGCATGGAGGGGTGTTTCAGGTGGAGGGGGGCTCAGTTGCACACATCTGGCTTGGATACCTGGGCTCATGCCCTGGGTTGGATGTGTGGGTGAGTCCAGCTGCCTGGGGATGAGAAGGTCTGGATGGGACCACAGGAAGAACTGGGAGCCCTGGCCCTCCACAGAGGGCACCCCTGGAGGTCTGAGGCCTCACCCAGTCTGCTAGGCAGAGTCCCTTCCTCAGAGCTGGCCAGTCGTATTTCCCAAATATCAGTGGCAGAAGCCAGAGCTCAGGTCACTCTGGTCCAGTCCCCAGCTTCATCCTTCGTAGATGAAGAATAGTAACTGTCATATACTGAGCACTTGCCAGGGCTTTGGCTTCAGGGCTAAGTACAAGATCATCCCGTTACATTTCACATCACCACCCCTCCCTTTTTTTTTTTTTTTTTTTTTTACAGTTACAGATACTGGTATTTAGAGAGTTCACATTACTGGCCCCTAGTCCCTCAGTTAATAACTAGTAGAAGCGGGGTTAGAACCTAGACCTGTTTTCCTCTGGAGCCCAGGTTTTTTTTTAAACCATGTTGCTTAGTACCCCTCAGAAGAAGAAGGGCTTTTCCTAAAATACCTTCTGCCAAAGTCAGCCACAGTCAGAGAAATCCTTTTGCATCTGTTATAGTGAAAAAGGGGTGATGTGGAGTCAGGTGGTTCCGGGTTCTAGTCCCACCTCTGCCCCTCACCTTTAGCATGACCTTGGGCAAATCATTTCTTCTCCCTGAGTATTTTTTTAAATTTTTATTTTATTTTTTATTTTTTAAAGATTTTATTTATTTATTTGACAGAGATCACAAGTAGGCAGAGAGGCAGAGAGAGAGAGAGGAGGAAGCACGCTCCTGGCTGAGCAGAGAGCCCGATGCGGGGCTCGATCCCAGGCTCGATCATGACCTGAGCCGAAGGCAGAGACTTTAATCCACTGAGCCACCCAGGTGCCCCCCACAACTCCCTGAGTCTTAAGTGAAACTGAAATCTGTGAAATGGAAACAATTACACACACGCTTGTTTTGAAGGTACACTAAGATGAAGACAGCCACCAACATCTACATCTTCAACCTGGCCTTGGCGGATGCACTGGCCACCAGCACGTTGCCCTTCCAGAGTGCTAAGTACCTGATGGAGACATGGCCCTTTGGGGAGCTGCTCTGTAAGGCTGTGCTCTCCATCGACTACTACAACATGTTCACCAGCATCTTCACCCTCACCATGATGAGCGTCGACCGCTACATTGCCGTCTGCCACCCTGTCAAGGCCCTGGACTTCCGCACGCCTGCCAAGGCCAAGCTGATCAACATCTGCATCTGGGTCCTGGCCTCAGGTGTGGGTGTCCCCATCATGGTCATGGCTGTGACCCGCCCCCGGGGTGAGTGAGTGCGGAAGCTGTGGAACAGGCCACTGACCCCCCGGGTTCAGCATGGGGGGCCCCTGCGGGAGGTGTGCGTTCCCGAACAGTGGAAAGTGTGACCGGCCGGCCAGTCAGAGTGTGGGGAGTCAGCCAATGGAGTGTGAACAGTTGTTGTGAGGATAAATGATTTCAGCATCGGGCAGATGGGTTGCTGGTCAAAGGAAATGTATGAATGGGGTTGTGGAGAGGCGGGCTGTGGGCGTGCAGCCCCTGGCCAGGAGTGTGTGGGGATGACTGACTTAAAGGGAGATAGAGACCACTAGGGCGAGAGTGTCCCTGACCAGTGAGCCGTGGAGGCTGTAAGATCTGCAGTCTCAGCCCAAATTCCCTTCCACCCCAATGTGAAAACCACTGGCCCAGCTGACCAAGGCAAGGCCCTAGAGAAGAGCCTGCAGAGAGTGACAGGTGCGTGTCCTCAGAGTGAGAATGGTCACTAACATAGTAGCTGCTCGTGTCAGTCAGGGCAGCAGCTGTAACAAGCCATCTCCGGAGTTCAGTGCTGAACGGTACAGAGGTTTATTCCTCACATTACCATCGAACGTGAGCTGGAGGAGGAGCTCGATTCCACAGTTCTTCAGGGAACCAGGCGCCACGTGGTGGCTTTGGAATCCTCCCCTGCTGGCATTTGGCCAGCAAATGAGTACGGAGAAGGAGTGATGAGAGAGCATGGCCAGCTTGAAATGTTATGGCCCATCGTTTCCTAGTGATGGCTGGTTACATGGTCCCAGCTTGACATAAGGAAGCGGGACAGGTCATATAGCAGGGTGCCAGTGACACAGGCCATTGACCTCTCTGAGCCACACAGTATCATGGGGTGTTGAGAAGTTTAAAGGAGACTATATGTGTAAAATACTTAGGACAAGGGACTCCTACCTTTATTTGACCGTAAGAACATCCAGAATCAGAGAGGTCAGGTGGTTTACTTAGGATCACAAACAGGCATTTGGTGGAATTTGACCTACAACCCTCGAATTTGACCTATTGCCCTCATGCTGCCTCTTACTCCTGTTGGCCGCTGAGGTGGAGGTTTGCAGAGGGTCGGTGCTGTGGATGGAAGGGGAGTAGGCCTGGGTGGAGGCGTTTTGACCACCCTTAACCCCTGCAGAGGCAGAGCCCCAGGTGCCCTCACACAGCTGCTGTGCAGTTGGTCTTGACTCAGCAGCTGGGCCCCGTTCCTCACTGTCAGCCTTCAGTTTATGGACCATTAACTGCAGCCTTGCTGGGGGCCAGACCAGATGGGCCTCCTCACTGCACGCTCCATCCCCTGCACATTTGTGCTCCCCAACTCAGCACTTCTTGGTTCTGTATGTAACTTGCTGTGTGACCTTGGACAAATGCTGTTCCTCTCTGAACCTTGTTCTGCCATCTGCTCAAGAAAGTCCTTGGACTCAGTCAGCCCTGGGAGTCCTGCCATCCTGCTGTCTGGAGGACCCACTGTGTGGATCCGCAGTACCCTTCCTACAACTCTCAGGCGCCAAGTTCACTGCCTGGCTCCTCAAAACCCAAGGTTCCAAGGGACCTTGGGAGTTCCCCAGGTCAGTTTCAGGCCTGTGTCTGAAACCAGAAACATCCCTAAGGTGCTCGTCCAGCCCACACCCACACTCCAGGAACAGGGAGCTCATTCCATCCTGGGTGCACCTCTGGACAAATTCCGCAGTCAGCAAGTTCTTCTTGCCATTAAGCTTGGCTTTGTCTCCCTGACCCTAGCCCTGACTTCTGGACTCCTAAATGTATCTGCCCCCCTTTCCTGTGAGTGCACCAAGAGCTTGACTGCCCCCCCCACTGTGCTAAATGTTTCACATGCCTGAGCCCATGGAATCCTCACAACCCTGTGAGGTTTAGATACTCTTATTAGTCCCACTTTATGGAAGTTCTCCTGGAGGCTGAACAGTTTGCCAAGGGTCACACCACAAAGTTGGTAGGGCCCAAGTTCTGCCCTTAACTCATCATACTCTCTAGATCTGTCTGAGCAGTGTTGTCCTCATTGGAGCTAGTCTGAAAATGAGTAGGGTGTTTTGAGGCCTCACAATGACTGGCATTTGGTGGGTTTGGGCTAAATCATATCATTACTGTGGTCCATGGATGTAGAGGCTGCTAAAGAGAATGGAAGAAAATATAGAAGGGAGACCTCCTAGATTACAGCCAATCCCGCTGGGGTCTTTAAGGATGAGTAGGAGTTCACCAAGTACGGAAGTGTAGGAGGACATTCCGGGCAGAAGAATCACCCTGAACAAAGGACAGGAGGAGGTGTGGGACTTGACCAAGCCAAGAACGGTGGCGAGCAGACGGGGTCGCTTCGGCCCCCGCGCCCCTCACCTGCTGTCTTTCCTTGCTTCCCCTGTAGACGGGGCCGTGGTGTGCATGCTCCAGTTCCCCAGTCCCAGCTGGTACTGGGATACCGTGACCAAGATCTGCGTGTTCCTCTTCGCCTTCGTCGTGCCCATCCTCATCATCACCGTGTGCTACGGCCTGATGCTGCTGCGCCTGCGCAGTGTGCGCCTGCTGTCGGGCTCCAAGGAGAAGGACCGCAGCCTGCGGCGCATCACGCGCATGGTGCTGGTGGTGGTGGGCGCCTTCGTGGTGTGCTGGGCGCCCATCCACATCTTCGTCATCGTCTGGACGCTGGTGGACATCGACCGCCGCGACCCGCTGGTGGTGGCCGCGCTGCACCTGTGCATCGCGCTCGGCTACGCCAATAGCAGCCTCAACCCCGTGCTCTACGCCTTCCTCGACGAGAACTTCAAGCGCTGCTTCCGCCAGCTCTGCCGCACGCCCTGCGGCCGCCCGGAGCCCGGCAGCTTCAGCCGCGCCCGCGAGACCACGGCCCGGGAACGGGTCACCGCCTGCACCCCGTCCGACGGTCCCGGCGGGGGCGCCGCCGCCTAAACCGCGCCGGCCCGGCCCGCCTAGCGCCCCTCCGGGGTGACCTGGCCGGCACCCGGGGCCCGCAGGGGGCGGGGCCGCGACGCGGAGTGGGGCCGAAGGGCGCCCCTGTTTTGGAGAAGGGGGTCGAGCGGGAGCGTGGCTGGGGCCGGGAGGCGGGGCCTCTGGGCGGCCGGCGCGGTCGGCGGTTTTGGGTCGGGTGCCGGGAACTAGCGACTCTGGGGGAGCGGGGCCTGTGGCTCTGGGACCGGACCGCTGGACGGAACCTGTGCGGCGGGCCAGCCTCAACCTTGGGACAGCCTCAGGTTCTAGCCAGGGCCGGCCTTGCTGGCCTGGGACCTGAAAAAGCCAAGGACCCAGGACCCAGGGGGCCTTGGTGGAGACCGAGGCTTGAAAACAGGGCTGCAAGACTGAGTCTCTCTCTGGTGGTGGTGGGCCTCTTTTGTGGGTCGAGAGGGAGGGACAGGTCAGCCAAGCGGCGACAGCTCAAGAAAGGGCCACGAGGTAGGCTAGGGCCACGAGATAGGATGTGTGCAGGGGATGGCGGCCTCAACCTTGGGGTAGAGTCCCAGCCCCGAGTTGTAGCCAGAGGCGGGGTTGCTGAGGTCCAGGTCCAATTGGACTGTCGTCATAAATAGAAAATAAAAGAGAGAGAGAGAGAGAAACAGTACGCATTTTCTGTCCTTGACAGTCATTTTCTTGGAATGGCCTCAGCATGGACGTCATGTCCCCCGCACTTTGTGCCAGTGGGGCTTGGGACAGGACAATGGAGCAGGACCAGCACCTTCAGGCTAGGATAGCAGGACAGGCCCTCAGCTGGGGTAGGGTCCCCAGCCCTAGGTCCTATGGGGCTCAGAAGGAGGAGGGAGGTCTGGCAGCTCCAAAACCCGAGCTGCCAGGCGGCCTCTGTGCCAAGGGTTGGGGGTGGGCAGAGGCAGAGGCGAGGCTGGGGAACTTCTGTTTAGACAGTAGGTCCTCAAGCTGGAGGGCAGACGCTTTGGGGGGTCCCCAGGGGCCTGACTTCTTTGCCCAGGTACTGGAGGACAGAAGACAATGCTAGCAAGAGCCCCATGCATGGTAAGTGGCAACTGGGACTGGGTGGGGGCATCTGAAGGACCAGTGTGGACTTTTCTTCCTGCCCATCTTGGGTCTCCCAAGAAGAACCTCCAGGAGATCCTCCTCCTTCTCCCAACACCTGGACGTGTCCAAGGTGTCCGGTGTTTACAGGCAGCTGGAACTGCCCACACAGGAGCTTGTCTCTGAAGGAACTGGGAGGAAGAAGGCTTTCCTAACTGATAGGAGTTTTTCTCTTCATGTGTTTGGCATTTTATTCAGGCACTCCCAGATCTTTGCTTTCCTATCAGGGTCTGTCCTTGTTCCCTGTGCCTCCCCCATACTTCACCTCCTCTCCCCGCCCCCTCCCCGCCACAGACACTGCCTCAGTCCCACACCCCTGACTCCCTATTGAAGCAGTGAGCTGACATCCTTGTAGAAACAAATTAATTTTCTTCCCTTTTTGGGACAGATGGAGAGAAACTGACGTCTTTGTCTCAAATGGAAAAAAAAAAAAAAAGATACCTCTTCTCCCTTTGACAGTCATTTCCTTGGAACAAAAGCCTTTCTCTTGTCTGGGAGACTGTCACTCCAGCAGGGGCTGAACTAGCGTTCAGGAGGTTGAGGGCTTAGGCACCAGGATGGGTGTTGGGCACATTAGGGGCAGGGATACCCTTAGTAGACGAAGCACAGCTCCCCTTTTGGGGTGTGAACCCCAGAAAACCCCCGAACCTGGGAATTTGCTTCCTCCAGGCAATGGCTTCAGTAGCACTTTGGAAGATGCAGGGCAGTGCCCAGTGCCCCTGGAGACTTCTGAGTCTGAGTGGGAGGGGGGTGTATCAGCAAGGTGGGGGACCCTCGTGGACACTCCTCTTCATGTGGGACCCCCTGCCTTGGGGAGATGTCAGAGATTGGGGACAATTTAGGGACTGGGGAAGACTTCTGAAGAAGGTGACATTGGATCCAGGCCTATTGATTCTCTCCACAAGGACTCTGTCCCCTTCAACTCTCCCTCAAGGCTGTTCTGGATCTGCGCCCTGCCGTCTCCCATGGCTATAACAAATCTGACTGGTTTTTACTACTTCTCATACATAAATGTGTCCCGGGGTCCACAGAGTCTGGGTCCAAACCACATGCATTTAAGGTAAAGCGAATTTGTACCGAAATCAACTTGATGCCAGGCTGTGCACCCCAGGGACTGGGACTCGGAAATAAGTCAGATACAGCCCGGCCCTCAGAAAGTTCATGCCCAGGCTGGGAGACAAGGTGTCAACAGAGCATCATCTGCGTGTGATGTGTGCAATGACAGGAAGCCCCAGGGAGGGTGTCTTGGGGAAGTGTTTTCTAGCTTTCTACTAAGACACATTCGTAGAAATTCTAGAAGAGGTGGGAAAGAGAGGGGCTTAAAGGATGTGTAGGGGTTGGCCACCAAGAAGAGGGAACAGTGTGTGCAAGAGAATGGAAATGTTGAGGTGCTTGGCAAACCCGAAAAAAGCTGTGTGCATCTGGAGTTTGGGGCTTAACTGCGCAATTTCGAGTGTCAGGCTCTGCGCTAAGCGCTTCATGCACATCGTCCCATCCGAGCCTCGTGACAGCTCAGGGGAGGTACTGTTACCCTTATTTTAGACCACAGGCTCAGAGGTCAAGCCACTCACCCCTAAGTCACAGAGCCTGTGGTGGAGCAGGCTCAGGTCAGTAGGCCTTCAGGCTCTGAGTTCCTGGTAAATTCCAGGGATCACTGATACAGAAGAGCCTTAATTGCTGGAACTCTGGAATGAGGATTTTTGAAGACTTAAAACCAGGAAAAATCTGAAGGAAAAGGGCAATTTTCCATGAACTTTTGTTCCTCCTGAAGCTCTCCAAACCTTCACATTTCAAAACGTACTGTGTGTGACACATTTTAAAGCTCCAAATTGACAGTGTAATTCTAGATCATCACAGGGCTCTCAGAACCATGAAGTAGGTTCTGATTCCACACACCCCCTCCCCAGGTTTCCACTCCTCTCTCTCCAGGAGGTGGAGGCAAGCTTTTGCCTCCAGTTTCAAAATGTCCTACAATTACCTGTCTTTTCTTGTGATGACAGAAGTAGCGGTGAAAGCTGGAGTCAGATTTGGGTTTCCCTCACTGTGCCTCAGTTTCCTCATCTGTAGAACGGACTTCCTTCATGGGCTTGCTGTGAGGACTTAATGACTTCATTTACAGATGGGGTCCAGATCATAGGTCAGCTCTCAGCACACGGCAAATAGTTGTCATTAGGAGCTCTGCTGCAGCACGAGGTCAGAACTGGAGGCCCAGAGGGAAAGGCAGATGAACTTTCAGGGACAGCAATACAGAGAGAAGAGCCCGGGGACCCAGCCTGAGGATCCCCCTGCTTTCTAGGCTCAGGAGTCACAGCGCGGAGAATGAGACGCTGCTGGAGAAGCAGGAGGAGGTTGGGGAGAATGTGCTGCCATAGAAACTGGAGGAGGAGGGCGTTCCCAGCGGGGAGGGAGTGATGGATAATGTCAAGTGTCATATAAGAGAGGTTGGTGGTGGGGAGGGCAGCAGGGTGATGAGAATAAAGCAGAGCCTTCAAGTTCAGTTTCCTACATGGCTTGGGAAGCCCCAAATCTGGATTCAAAACTCAGCACTGATGCTAACCAGCTGTGTGACCTAGGCAAGGGAGTTGCCCTCTCTGAGCTTTTCTTTTCTCTTAGATCTAAGACAAGGGAATGGGTCAGTCTCTGAGGTTTCGTCTCTGATAAGTGTCCTGATTTTGCTGGGTTCTTGGCCACTTGCTAGCAGTGGGAGCTCAGGCAAGTCATTTCACCTCCAAGAATCCCATCTGAAGGCTAGAGATATGGCAATTGAGGTTCCTACCAAAGTGCCTGGCACCTAGTAGGCCAGTGAATACAGAATTATTCTGTGACGATAGTGGGGAGCTAAGGAGACCTGCTTAGCTTGGAATTTGAAATGTTCCTCAAGGTGGAGAAAACCACTACTGTCTGGAGAGAACTTGGAGGAGCCACAGTCCAGGCTAGTCCCCCACTAGACCTCTGCCCAAAGGCCAGCCCATCTATTTTCAATGGCAGAGCCTCAGCTGGCCTCTGGCTGCCTTCTCCCACTGGACCTACTACAGATCCAGGCTGGGAACCAGCTCAGAGGCTTCAGAGCCCCTAGGAAGTAATGCTCCCCCCACCCCCAAGGTCATGGTCCTGGCACTCACACACGAAACACTATACACAACTTTCTCTTCTCATTTATGTATTTATAATTATATACTCCTTCACTTCATTCCTGGGCACTGAGCACATAGTGCGGACAGCTCTAGGGAGGGAGCCCAGCTCCGAGCTTACAGATGCTGGGAGACCAGAGGAGACTGGGGTGAGGATCTGGCGGCAGGTGGCTGGGGAGTTCAGAATGGGGCCCTGAGGGGCTGGGGAGAGGCATCGCTTATCCTGACCTGGTCAAGCGCTAGAGCTGGGGGTTGCCCAGGTTCCAGTCCCATCCCTGGTGCTGGCCATGAGCCCCACTATAATAATACTAGTATGTGATACACAGCACCTCCCTTTGTTCTAAGCCCTTTACATGGTAATTTACTTAATCTTTGCAGCATGACTCTGAGGCAGGCACTATTATAGTTATTACCCCTACTTTATCGATGAGGAACCCAAGGCTCAGGGGAATGGCCTGTCCAAGACCACAGAGCATGTCCATGGCTGGGCCAGCTAGGATCACATCTTAGATCTGTCAAGTCCACTTTGCTCTTCTCCTCCTGCCTCCCACGAGGAAACTGATGACACAGAGGGCATCAGGGAGACTCCTGTGTCCAGCTCATAGTCCGGGACTGAGCCTTCCCGGGGCTGGGTTCTATGCCTCATCATCTTGGTGTCAGACACCTCCCAAGGAATCGCTGTGGCCTTAGCGGGGCCCTCTCCCCATCCACTCCCTCCCTCCCTTGGAAGTCTTGCTTGTTCTATAATTTTTTATCTGCCTGCTAGGACTGTGTTGTATGACCTTGGTCCAGTCACTTCTCTCTGGGAGCCCCTTTTCTCGGTCGTGGAGGACAACAATCACAATAAGTTGTGAAGATTTA